ACATCAAAAAATAAATAAAATCAAAAACAATTTATTTATAATACATAAATTAAAGATGTGTTCATTTGAATTGAAATATTTGTAGCTAGCGTTAGAATAGTGTTATGTAAATAACATGTATTTGTAAATATAAATTTAATATTATTTACCGAAGCTTTACTTGAAAATGTATGCATTTCATGTCATATATAAATATTTGTATTCACTTACTTCAATGCAATGCGCATCTGATCGGCGATGGCAATATCGAATGACATGTTCTCTTGTGGCTTTGCAGCAGCTCGCCAATGCAGCGCAATTTGATTCCTTGCCTCTGGGCAATTAGACACACTCACACACACACACACACGCACGCGCGCACACACAAACAGGAAAAACAATTCTAAATCACAATAGATATCAGCGTGACAGGTCAAATTGTTTTAAGTGGCAAATGGCAAATTGCAAGCGGCAAGTGGCATAGAAAAAATATGAAACGCCTACGCGGCGTATGCGTAACGTGGCCTTTTTGCAGGCTTTCGTCTTGGTTTGAAATGCCCGATTGATTTGTCGTTTCACTTATTTTCTTTACAAAGGCTTTCGAATTTGCTACTTGATTGAAATTTGCACTCGTTCGGATTTTGTCGTTTCTCGCTTAATTAGCTGTGCTGCTGCGCCTCATTGATTGAGATTGATTGAACGCCGGCTTTGGGGCCTCGGGCTTGACTTGCGTTATACTCAGGGGCTGCGCGTCTACTGAAGCATTTGAAGTAGGCGCTGTTTAAGTTTAGTGGTCGAGCGCTCGACGCTGACGCTCGACGCTCGACGCTCGAATGCTCGAGCGCTCGGACGTATGTACGTAGCGCACGCACACACACAGAGAACCGCAATTTTTACACTCATTTAGTCTGGCCGGTCGTACGAGTGATATTCTCAATGTGTATGCTTGTGTGCGAGTGTGACTGGGTGTGAGTGTGAGTGTGCGCTGCCTGGTTTCGCACTCAAATGCCCATGGCATTGTCTGCTCGAGTGAGTTCGCTTGCTGTCTCTGCTGGACGCCGTTGTTTTGTTTAAACGTTATCGTTCTTGTTGTTGCCTTTTGTTTATGGTTTATAGCATGTGCACACACATACACACATACGTACACACAATAAAACACACACAAGCACGAGCACACAAAATAGTTTTCACTGCAGTTGCCTTTTTGTTGTTGATTTGTTTGAGTTTTGGTTTTAAAGTTATTTTATTTTGTTTATGCACATATTTCACTGTGTTTGCACTTTATATATTGTCGCACGGGGCGTATGTGCAACAATTTGTAGTACATTGTTTTCGGAGCGGAAGCCATGTTAATCAACAGTTTGCGACAAGTTTAGAGCTCAAAATGTGTGCCAAAATAATATGCACACATATGTATGTATTTATGTATGTATGTCTGTATATATTAACTATATTTATTTTTGTCAAACTGATGCGAGTGACATTCCGTTCGGGTAAGCCTCACATTATATTTATAAACTCTAATGTGGCCAGTGCGCTCGCATAGAAACTCGTTTGAGTCCTGCCTCACTAATTTTAGCATAGTTTTCAAGCCCTCAACAAAGTAAAGAGCAGACTATCCGCCACGATTAGGCTCACAGCAGTGCAAAGCAGTTTCTCTCGCTCCCATTGAGTGATTTCCAAGTAACAAGTGCTCAATTTATTCATTTTGCACTCGATTGGAAACTGTTGCATGTGCTGCTCATTGTATTAGGATATTAGGGCTCAGGCGCATCATTAGCGCAGGCAATTAGTGTTATTAAAGCAGTCCACTCGTTTCAATTAGCTCGCCACTGAACGTCAGCTGAGGTGCATATAATTAATTTAATAAACTGCCCATCAAGGAATATAGATTTAATATTCAATCTACGATTACTGGCGCATGAGAGGGAATGCAGGTAATGTAGTATACGTATGCATATAAGTGGACTATTGACTTGTCTGACCTGTTTTCGATATTCCACGGCATATTTTAAAAGCGAACTTTATTTAATTAATTATAAAGCCAACCGGCTTACAATCAAATGGCCCACGTAATTGTTGACTGATATATGACGAGTGATATTATATTTGAGATAAGGCCTCGTCAATAAAACAATTACAGCGTTTAAAAGCTATGATTAGTTATAAGATTATATAAACTGTCAATATAAACTACAGGTATTACAGCTTTCCACATATTTCAAATTACAATGTGAATATTATTTCAAGGTTCTACTATTTATTTGTATGTTTTAGATACAACTAATATCGTGTAGCGTGTATTCAATTGAAACAGCAAATTATAGTAGTACCTGTTGAGGAGGTATGATAGCGTCACGCTACATATGTGTACATATATGATGGCCAAATTATGGAATACAACACAATCCCAAAGGGGAAGTCCATTTGCGCACTGTGTGGGTGTTTAATTGAATGCTGATAATTAGATATTATTAAGTCAAATATGATACAAGCCAATAATGGTAATAGTAATAAGAGTAAATATTCAATTATTGATTTTAACGCATCATATTAACATAACATAATATGTATACTAATACTAGAATTAATGTAGTGAACAGTAATTCCATCAATGATACATGAATTCAAACTAATGATAACAATAATAATACGAAAACATATATTAAGAGTAATACTAACACTAATACTAATGCTAGTGCTAATACTAATAACAATTATAATAAATATGATGGCAAGTGTTGACAGACGGATGCCAGGAAAACAAAGACTCCAGATGGAATCGACAAATACAATCATAATATATGGTAGCGAAGTATAAGAGAACTCTTTAAAATCTGAAGCAAATGCTAACCATGCAAAGAAGATCAGCCGTAAGGATAGCTTCACCATACCGCACAGTCTCTGGAACTGCCGTGATAGCGATAGCAGCAGTCAGTCTAGTTGACATGCTTGCGCCAGTAAAGTCGAGAGTTCATGAAGTAAACAGCAAAGATCATTCGACAGCTCAGTACAGCCTCATAGAAGGCATGATGCTCATACGAAAGGTACTGAAGATGGACTGCAAAAATCATTCCAGTTCTCTGAGTAGTAGATAGCACGGCGAAACATGCCCGTATTCCACAGAAACGCTCTCGCTCATGAAAAGCTATCATTTAGAAATCTAAAATAAAATGGGGAAAACTGCATGCTAAATTTACTGTGAAAATGCAATGGACGATGAGCACACCTTCTTTAGCTGCGAAAAATGGCCAGAAGAAAGAATCAACTTGGCAGAAGCTTGATGAATATAGTAGAGACTATAGAGAAATTAATGTGCAGCAGCATAGATACTTGGAAATAAGTCTGCGACTTCGCCAAAAAGATTCTGCGGCAGAAAAAGTATTACCAGGACACAGGTAAACATGTGACATTGCTCAATAAGAGCAAGAGCTCCACCTTGAAGGTTAATGCGGAATAGCTCCTGAATCTAAGATTGGAAACAGCCCTAAAATAAGAGAATTTTAGCCGGTAAAACAGTATGACACAATAGCCAGAGTGACGACCTGACTGATGCTGCAAAATGTATATTTACTTACCTCTACCACACACACACACAAAACTAATAATTACGTATGAAAAGATTAACAAGTGTAGTAGGAATCATACTAATACTAGCACTAGCACTAGTACTAGTGGAATCATTACACTTATACTAATTCTAATATTTAAGTAAAAGCAGTATCTGAACAAATAATCATACGAATCTAATACTTACTGTAATCTTGTATTAAAAGTATTTGTTCTTATACAAATGCTGAAACTTAGCCTGATAATATTACAATACTAATAGTACTAGTACTTATTTTAGCTTAGATGCGAATTCCAATTAACAACCAATTCTTATGTTACGTTATACCTAATAAAATACTTAACTTACTTAAAAATAGTAGTAGAATCATACTAATATAGACTAGTACTTATTCTTAATATATGCTAATACGAATAAGATAGACAATTTAAATGAATTAAACCACATAATTAAGCCACACAGACAGGCATAGCGCTTGGCATTAAATTCAGGTAACTCTGCCTGGCAGATGCTGTGCCAAGCAGAGAACTCGACAATTGTCAGAGCTCGCAGACGGTGAATAATGTAGTACTAGCCTGGCTGGCCGGCTCTAGGCATATAAATAACTGGACAAGCGGAGCACGTTCGGACTGAGGCACAGTTGAATACGTTGAGCTGTATCCAGGTAATAGCTCAGCTTGTATTTGTGGGATTATGTGCGTCGAGCAGCTTGTAAATTTAATTGAATCGCCAACAAAGGACAGGAATAATTATTTGGGATACCACATATATATATAAATATATATGGAATTTAGGTTAAACGAAAAGTGAGTGTGTGTCGCCCAGGCCAGGCCTATATGTATTTCAATTTATTGGGGACGCTTTTCGGCATTCTTTTTGGTAAACTCCTCTGCGGACTTCATGAACTTCTTGTGATCTTTGACAAACTCCTCGGCCAAATCGGAGCGCAACGGATGCTCTGGTTGGGGATTGTGCACAATGTCGATGAGAGCCTGAAACACCTGCTCGGTGCGCGTTGTTGGCTTCCAGTTATCGGCCGTTATTATGGACAGGCACACCTGGCCCTTCTCATCGACGTTGGGATGATAGATCTGGGTCTTGAACAGTATTCTCGGCGGCATGAACGGATACTGGGCAGGGAAGCTAACTTCGATGCGAAAGGCACCCTTGTTGTACGGCGCCTTCTCCGGCACCAACAGTCCGGTCCACAGCAGCAAGGATTCATCTGAGGCTTCCACATTGCGCAGGACCTTCGACTTGGCGGCCATGATATCGCTAAGCTCGCGACTTAAACGATGCGACGCGGACATAGTTTTAATTTATTATATATATATTTTTTTTTGTATTTTTAGTTATTTTTTGGGGAGCTATAGAATTTCTAAATGCAAATAATTTCGGACTATTGTTGAGTGAATTTTGAAAGCCTACATTGTAAAATATTGTTATTCTATTTAATTGTTAAAACAATCCACCAATTGTTTATTTCGATCAACTCAATACAGCCGGATTTATGTACAAATTCGTATAACAGCAATTACATAGTTTAGTTAAGGCATTCGTCTATTAGAACAGCAGCGCCCTGTTATCATCGTAGAGACTCTCCCAGATCTTCAGCTTCGGCCATTCGGGCAGCTCAATAAACTTCAATTCATCGCTAATGTTTAGGCATTTGATGCTCTCATCGCTCTTCCGCACCGGATCCCAGGTAATCATGTCCAGGCCATTGATCTCCGAGCTGTACGGGTTGCCGGTCCTCGCAAACTGTGTCCAGATGCCCACCGTGCGCTCAATGTTGCGGTACTCCCGACTCTCCTTCGGCATGCGGTGTGCCAGGAGAGTGGCGAACTGATACGTCAAATCGTCCGCATGACTGACGCCCTTGACACCACGGCCGTAACGCATGATACGGTAGGGGAATATCAACTCCTCCGAATCGAAGTCGTAGCGATAGAAGTATACGGGCGAGCCAGCAGCATGGGCGTGTCTCGAGCGGACCACGCGCAGAGCAGGAAAGACAAAATAATAAATGGAACAGAGCTGTATGAGAAAGGGAGAGAGAGACAAATATAGTATATGAATATGAGAGAGATCTGTAAGCTGCTGTGGTTCAAGCTACATCAGAAAATCTGTCAGTAGAGCGGTCATATATTAAACGGAAGGCTCAAGTTGTCAGTGACTAAGCTTTAAGTTAGTCTTAATTATAATATATATTAATTCTAATCTCTAATACGCAAACAAAATAAGTTTATTGCTCAATCACTGGCCGGTAATATAGTGGGTCTATCAATCAAATCATGTATTCATCTATTCATTAATGAAATATTTAATTAGTCAATCAATCATTTGAATAGCACAACAAACAATCAGGCCATCAGGCAATACCAATACAATAATGGACTCTATCAATCAAGCAGTAATGTGAGTTTTTGTCACTCAGACAATCATTGAATCAATCAAAGCAGCCATTCAATTATATCTGTCTCTCATGCAATCTATCAGAGTCAATCAATTAAGTAACTAGATATTATTCAACCAATCTATTGAAGGACTAGCCAATCTTTATTACATCATATAAATATAAGGCTTTAATTCAATCAATCAGTCAGTTACTTGTTATATTGAACTAGGCAATAGCTTCAGCCAATCAATCATTCAACAAATCTGGGATCAGCAAAAGTTTCTATGTATGATATTTAAATTTAAATAAGATCACGAAATGACCAGAGATGTAGAAAAATAATCAGTCAATCTAATCAATCATTTTAGCATAACAATCAGTCAGTCAATCATAAAGTCCGACTGCTAAATCAATCACTCCGTTAATCAATCAATAAGTCGGAGCCCATCAGTCAATCAGTCAAGTCCCTTTTCTCGCTCAATCAAATTGATTGAAGCAACTTACATCCATATAATTATCAGGTGTAGCCTTCTCGCCTGTCAAATGAGCGCTGCGTATCTTCTGACCCCAGCTGCTGACCTTTTCGCTGTTGATCGCTGCCAGCTCGCGGGGAACGAAGGGCGTGCCTGAGTCCACCTGCTGCACCACCTGGGGCATCAGTTTGATCTCTGCATAAGCAAATTTTCAGCTTGTGCTCCAGCGGGAAAATGAATTGCCCACTCACCTGGCACCCAGAGCAAACCCTCGTACGAGGTGTTGCCTATCATCATGGGTATCGAGTTGCTCCACGCGGTCTTCATCATCTCGAGCGGATGCTTCGGCAGGACGCACTCGGGCGTGGTATATGGCTCCAGCGCGGGGCCAAAGGCAAACATCACCTTGTTCGCATGCTCCTCGGGCGTCAGCACCTGCTCCTCCACGCGTATCAGGTCCCTGGCACGCACTGTCTGCAGAAACTGTAGCACATCCTTCTCGTTGTCCTCGCCCTTGTAGCCCGCCAGCTTGGCAATCCGGAAGGCGCGCGACGTAATGTCGCCATTGAAGGCCCAAGGCGCAATGGCGCTGCCCGACTGCAGGATGCCACGATGGAAGAGTCCCTGCGTTTGGTCCGTCAGCATCATGTAGTGGGTGGAGGCAGCTCCAGCACTCTCGCCAAACACCGTTATGCAATCGGGATCGCCGCCAAAGCTGGCGCAATTGTTCTTAATCCACTTCAGAGCCATCACCTGATCCTTGAGACCTGCATTGCCCGGCACATTCAAGCCAGGAGTTTTCAAGCTGAGGAAGCCTTAAAGTAATGCATCATTAGACTGGAACCAGGTGAGATTCAGGTATTCAGTTTTCGAATTTACCCAGAGCACCCAAACGATACTGAATGGTGACCAGCACAACATCCTCCTTCATGAAGTAGTCCGGGCCGTACCAGTCGCGATTGGCCTCGCCAATGATGAAGCCGCCGCCATGTATCCAGACCAGAACTGGGCGTGGCTTGGCTGGACTGAGCTGTTTAGCAGGGTAGATCGAATGTAATTGCCGTTTCTATTTATTCGAGCACTCACTCACATTATTCGTGTAGACATTCAGATAGAGGCAATCCTCGGAGCCCTCGACCTTGTCGAAGACGAAATTCACCTGCACTGCTATGTCCTTGGGCTGGGTGCAGTCCCGTACGCCCTCCCAGGGCGTGGGTCGCTGCGGGGCACGGAAACGCAGCTCCCCAACGGGCGGCTGTGCATAGGGTATGCCCTCAAAACTAAAGTAGGGCAGATCGTAGATGGTCAAGCGCTTAACGCCCCGCACTTTGCCATATTCCGTGTCGGTGACGACCGACTCATTTGTGGTCAGACGATATTGTTGGAGTTTATGCTCGATTGTTCTGTAAAATATGACAAATTTACATAATAATAATAATGGAGTGCGCATTATATTTGCATGTACATATATATTGTATATGTGTAAGCCTAGATAATTTGATATTTTGGTCGCCCCTGAGCTCATTTTAATTATGATACCCTGCATACGCAGCGAGAGGCTAAGTGGAGTGTTTTGAAATGGTAATAGTAAATTTATTGATATATAAATGGTTTCTATCTTCATTTAATACAATTAGTCTTTAATTTGTTTGATGTAAGGAAGGGTATTCCCTTTTCGACGCACAAGCCTCAGCTTTCTTTCTTTTGTTCACACCTTTCACACTTTTCGTTTGCCTACAGGGCATCGCTGTGTCGCTCCTACTCGCCCCTTGAGCACTCTTATTTGCTTTAATTAGCATTAAATTGAAATTATTTTGCTGATGCGGCTGCTGTGGCTACCGTTGCTGCTATTTACCATATCGTCAGCCCATCAACTAGACAACAGCCTCCACATCCGCCTCTGCCGCCGCCTCAGCTGCAGCTTGTGGAGCTAACTGGAGCATTGGCATGCACATCCAGTTAACCGGGCACGTCTGTCAGTGATAAATGAACACCGGCTGACAGGCCAACTGCTCGGTCACGCTACAATGCACTCAACTGCCACTGGACACTGGGCATGTGGCGTGTGCCCCTCCCATACCCAACCATCCCCACTCGGCGAGAGTGGCTCTTAAGGCCGAGCCCACACTTCAGGCTGAACTTTGTGTCGTCAAGTAGCTCTCAGCTATCAGCGGGACACAAAATCTAGTATAAAGAAACGTGCCTCGAGATAAGGCACAGCAGCATCTACGGCCTGTGTATGGAGCCAAGGCGAGATTATTTATATAACGATTGTAAAAGTAATTGCACTTATCACACGGGCATAACTCCCATGCCAAAGGTCGACAAAATAGTAGAATTTATATAAATTTTAATATGTTTATTGTGTCTATTATTGGAACAATTCTCATTTGGAGCAAAGCAAGAGATTGCTGCAAAGCCAGACCGAATGTACAGGCTAAATTCTCAAGATCTTCATTTGCTTTGTCTGTTAGTAAATATATGTTTAAGATATGGTCAGTACAAGTCAATACATTCAAGATTTTTGTTGTATTTGTCAAACAGTGAACTCATTTATTATGTTTGATATTATTAAGTTGATATTTATAAGTATGTATATATATAGATAGATAGATAGAGAGAGAGAGAGAAAGTATAGGCCAAATTCTTTCCTTAAAATATTATATAATATTATTGCAATAATACAGTTCTAGCATAAGTTAGGGTTATCGCAACGAAAATTCCCCAGACAAACTTATATGATAATAGTCGTCATGTCTGGACTCTACTGTATTTTATTGTGAAATCACATACGCTTTCTTTTAATTATAATTAAACAATAAATTAACAAAAATGTCAAACTATTTATATTTTCTACAAAAAAAAAAAAAAAAAAAAACATAAATAAATAAATAAATAAAATTTAAAAAATTTAAATTAATTTAAATTAAATTATATATTATATTATCATAAACATACATTGAAAAAAAAAGCTAAAAACCAAAAAAAAATATTTATTTTATATAACATTATTCTTAATTAGAACCAACATAAGAGCTTAGCTCATCTATCCGTCTGTTTGACCACATGTGCATAATTATATCGAATCTTGGAACTTTAATACTTCCACGTACAGCAAACAGCTGGCCCTCAAATTTGTTTCAACTTAGTGAAAACCTCTTTTCATTTTTACAAAACATTATTATTATTATTATATAATACAACAAATATTTCTTATTTAGACTCTGGACACAGAGGGCCTTAGGATATATTCGTAATAAGCAGCCCTGTGGACTTCTTTGTACTTTGCTCTCTGTGCTCTTTATCTATATATCTATATCGGTAATGTATATATTTCAATCTGAAATATAACAAAATTTATATTTCATGAGACAAAATCTTTTGTACTCGATCACTGCTAATCAGCTCAGGTATTTATGATAAGATAGATCATTTGTCGACTTTAAGTTGGCACATCATCATGTAAAGCATTATATAAATGCAGTTGCATTCAAGCAAGTAATTAAATATAATTGCATTTATTAAACAAATAAAATATCTTGCGTTTATTTGATAAACGAATCGCAATTGTAAAGTTAATTGAATAATTACCTTCATTGTGCTTTACAGCTTGAACTTGAGAGAACAGAAATATACATATAATAATAGTATATGGAATTGAAATGTGAGATTCGAAATTCGAATGGGAAGGGTGCATGACAGGCATGACGGTTTCTGAGGCGGGGGCCCCCGATAGGCCTCGTCGCACTATCGTATTCAATGCGCATTTCGAGCCACATCCCATTGCAACTCAACGCCTTTGGCATATTTAGAGAAAAGTTCTAATAATACATTGAATGTGAATATCAAGTGCAATAGAGTAAGTATAAACAACAGAACGCAAACACACAGGCATAACGTTTAACAATGTCAACAAATTGTGTTTATATCTATGTACATACATATATGTATGTATAGATTTCTATATATCTTCGACTGGGGCAAACTGAGCGCTAATGACAGGCCGTAAATACGAAATATGCTACTCATTAAACTGATTAAGCGATTAATTTGCAAACGTATGAAATAATTGAGAGGTTATAAATTAAGGGATTATGTGACATTTTAATGGTTAACATAAAAACTTTATTGATTTACTATCAAACTGCATTTTATCGGCGGCAACAAAGAGTCAACCTTGTTGTGCGAAACATGATATCTTAAGCTATTCATTAAACGAATCAATATTTATTTATTAGTCAGTTATTAACAACAATTTCACTGCAATTTATCAAAGGAAAATACTTACTTATTATACCCTGAACCCATTTTCAATGGGAAATCAGGGTATAATGGTTTTGTTGAAATGTATGTAACAGGCAGAAGGAGGCGTGGCAGACCCCACAAAGTATATATATTCTTGATCAGGGCGACGAGCTGAGTTGATTTGGCCCTGTCCGTCTGTCTGTCCGTCTGTCCGTCTGTCCGTCTGTCCGTATGTATGAACGCGTCGATTTCAGAAGATATAAGAGCTAGAGACTTCAAATTTTTTTTAAAATGTCCGTAATTACAGCGCGCATATCAAGTTTATCATTAAAAATCGATAACTCATCTCGATCTTTTTTATCGATAAAAAACCTTATCGAAACCCTGTTATAAAATTATATCTTCTACACCTTTATTGCTAGAGACTCCAAATTTTTAATGTAAGCTTATATGCAATTTATACAATTTCGGTTTTTGTTAAAATTTACCCCCCACCTCTAAATTCTCCCCCTCACCCTCACTTTTGTAAAAAGCGTATTTCAAATACTAGAGACTTGTGCTTTGGCAATTACATGCATATTCATGTTATAATCATAATCTAAAAGTTTCATGAAGATCGTACGTCCATAAAAAAAGTTATTAAACAATTAAGTTCTCATAGTAAGCGCACACTGCAGCCCATGCGTGTTTATGCGTGGTTGCTTGTGTGTGTATGTGTTTGTGTATGTGTGTGTGTATGTGTGTGTGTGTGTATGCGTTTGTGTATGTATGCGTGTGTGTGTGTATGTGTGTCTGTATGCGTGTGTGTGTATGTGTGCCTGTGTTTGCGTACGTGTGTGTGTGTGTGTGCGTGTTTCTTGTGTAAGCTGAAAGTCGCGAAAAAGTATTGAAATATCTATTGCTCCAAGGGTTCAGGGGATCTCGTAGTCGAGCAGTCTCGACTAGAGCTTTCTTACTTGTATATAAATATATTTGTGTATCATGGATGAAATTCATACAGATGATATATGGAAAATGTGCCTAGCTTGCAGAGTTCTTTATGATATTAAAACTAAATTCGAATCAAATTATTTATCAACTGGTTCCATGTGTAAATAAACAATAAGTGAATAAATATAGTATCTATATTTGAAACGAAATAAACCTGATATAACAACACTTCATATACCTATATACGTTTATTGATTATCAAGGTGCTGTTGGCATCATATTCCACAGAAATAAATGTTGACATGTTCAAAGAAAAATGTTGATTGAGTCAGACAGACAAGTAAGTTAGTGAGCTAATGAATAGAGCAACCGATGGCCAGAACTTAAACAAGCGAGGTACTTGATCTATTAATAATGAAATAAATTAATCTAGATTAATTGTAGTTCACACAGTCGCACTCACTTCAAACGCCAGCGCAGCCGCTCAACAAAGCCGATGTTTTTGTTCATCTTCAAAATATCAGACACCAACTATATGTAGTATATGCTGTATTAGCTATTTATATATGTATGTGCGTTTGTGTTTATGAATATAATTTCGTTTTCACCGATCGCTTGGACTGTTGCGCGCCAGCACCGAACTGAAACTGAAATTAACAATAATTTTTTATTCCATATTGAGTTCAGTTGTTGACGCGAACAAAACAGGCGAGTAGAGCTCGTCAAAGAGATATAAGCACAGGCACACACTCGCATGCATATATGTACATACATACATATGTAAGTAGTACTATATACCAAGTTGAATAAAGCAAACAACTGAATAAAAACAGAACAAAACATAGAAAAAATACAGCACACAATAAAAAATAGCGAAAACACAACAAAAATTATATATTCTTTTCAAGTGCACAGATACACAGAGGCACAGCTGGGAGCTGGGAGCTGAGAGCTGAGAGCTGAAGCTGGAGCGGTTGCTGTAAAAGGCGTGGGCGGGCGAGTGAGGCTGGGGCCACTTGTTAGCAAAGCGGCTGTATAATTAATCAATTGATTTGCCAATTGCTCTGCCGGCCCAATATCGTTTTTAGCAACTTTTCTATCACCTCTAAACAACACACGCCTCGAATAGGTATTAAAAACTTTACGCTGAGCTAAGGCAAATGCTGGTTGAGGCATTCCCCCACCCGCTCCCTTCCCTCACACCGGCTTACTTGATCGCGCCGGCAGTGTAAACAAAAATTAAAAAATTGTTGTTGCTGCTGCTGTAGCCGGCACATTGTTAACAAGTTTCGCGCGTCGAGGGTAGAAGCTTTCTGGCAAAGCTTTAAGCTTACGCTTTAAGCTCAAAGCACAACACACTGGAGGATCGCAAAAGTGATGCAGCTGTCGATTGGAGCAGATTCAGTCGTTACTTAAAATTGTTTATATTTGTTTATAATTATATTTATAATTTTATGGACTATAAATTAACTCGTAGGGAAAAGTGTTAGGTTTATATGTATAATAAATGATAAAAAAAATAATAATAAAATAGATAATAGAAAAAAATCTTTATAGATATATATAATCTGAATTTAGTAACTAGTTCACTATCCAGGTAATAAATTCTATATACAGTAGTAGTAGGCCAATGAGAGATTCGAGGAATCAGCATTATGGTGAACACATCTATATATAATTTAAATACCACAATTTGAAATTAGTTCACTTGGTCACCAAAGTAACAAACTTTATTCATTGTAAATTGACTCATAAGGAAAAATCTATTCTAAAAAAAAAAGTCACCTTTATTATATTAAATATATATGATTGGAATTTAGATACCACAATTTGGAACTAGCTCTCTTAGAAGAGTTGTCAGCCACCATAAAGCAAGCGCTTGTCATTATCGTACAGCTTATTCCACACTTGAAGCCCTTCCTCCTCGAACAGCCGGTCGAAGGTTAAGTCGTAACTGATGTTCATGGCATGAAAGGGTGTCTTTTTAGTCACGGGCTTCCACTCTTCTGGCTTAGTTTCGGCACAGTTTGGATCTCCGGTTTTCGCAAATGCCGTTAAAATGCCCACCAATCGATTGATAGTGAGGCATTCCGGCGCATTCAGTTCATTTCTGAACTTAAGCTCCCTAGGAAAGATGTAGCCCAGCTCGTCGGCATGGCAGACACCGCGCCGAATGTCGCCTCCGCACAAATTGATTCTCATCAAGTTATGTTGGCTCGAGTCGAAATCGAATCTGTAAAGATAGGTGGGAGCCTCGGCAAAAGCCAGACGGGAGAGCACAATCCGGTGTATTCCATGCCAGAAGAGCTTATAGCTGAATAGCTGGAAGCAGGAAAGCCAACTTGATTTAAGCCCATACAGCGTCTGCATTTCTTTTACTCACATCCAAAAGTTGCACAATATTGTTAGTATGGATTTGTCTAGGCCCAAAATGAAAGCGTACCAGCTGCGCAGCTCGCTCAGTCAGTTCGCGTACCGAAAGCGTCCGGTACAGATCGTAAGGAAGCACTAGGGTTGGCTCTTCCTTGAGTAGATTTAGAATATGACCATTGTTGAGCTTGCTGTAGGGATACATGATCAGGCCTTCGAAGGAGGTGCCGCCCAGCAGCAAGGGCACATTCTTAGCCCAAGCGTCCCGCATCAGTTGCAGAAAAGGACGCTTGAGCAGGCCTTCGCTACCGTCATGGTGCTCCAAAGTGGGCACGAACGGATACAGGTGCCCAAATATAAGTTCCCTCGACCCGAATAGCTTATTTTGCACCAGATCCTCAGCGGGCTGCGAGCGAAGGAACTCCAAGACGCACTCCTCCGTCATTTTACCTCTGTAACCCTTTTCGTTCGCCAGGCGACAGGACAATGTATCCGTATTCGGTACATGCACCCAGGGACAGGTCATACCACCAGACATCATAATGGCTCGGTGGAACAAACCACAAGCCTCCGGCAGACACATCATAAAGTGCACCGAGGCAGCTCCCGCACTCGTGCCCATTATGGTTATATTTTCGGGGTCCCCGTTGAAGTGCGAGATGTACTGCTTGATCCAGCGCAGTGCCAGCACCGTATCGTGCAAGCCCGCATTGCCGGGTACGCCCAGCTTCGCGTTGGACATGCTAAGAAAGCCCATCACACACAGGCGATAGCTGAACTGCGCATAGACGATGTCCTCGCGCATCAAATAGTCCGGCCCATATTTGGTCCTGGTAGCACCGCCTGTCTTGAAGCCGCCCCCGTGTATATAAACCAGCACGGGAAGCGGCTTACCCGAATCAAACTTCATTTAAGTACATATAATAAGCATAAGCAAGTTTTCTGATATTTGAATTCCACACACTCACATGCTTAGTGAAGACGTTCAGGTATAGACAATCCTCAGAGCCTATTGTGGTCACCGTATCCGGCTCCCTATCTTCCTGCTGAACTGGTACAGCACGCTCCTTCAGGCAATCAAGAACCTTGCCAGTCCAAGGCTCCGCCGGCTGAGGTAGGCAAAACCGGAGCTTCCCAATAGGCGGCTTGCCATAGGGTATGCCCTCAAAACTATAGAATCCATGTCCGGTGTTGCCAATCTGATGCTTGCCCTTAACCTTGCCCACTGGCAGCTCGACAATTTTCGTCTCGACATTAGTTTTCTGAGAGAAGTTTGACTTTCTGGCTCCCAACAGAGGTCTAAGTTTTCTCAGCCTTCCAAATTTCAACATATCCTGGCCGTGAATTAAGCATACTAAAGCAAAGCCCACATGGATGCATTACCTATTACCGAGGCGAGACCAATCTTAATTTAAACATTAAAATTTCTGGAAACTTTCTATAAATGCTAAAAGCTTGTTAATATCTATGCCTGCTGAGATGAAATGTATTTTTAGATTTTTCTTATACGCTTTAAAGGAGACTATTTGGCTTATAAATATGTCGGATATTTCTGGAGATTAGATAATTTTGTGGAGTGCAGCGTGTTCCTGCACTGTTGCCCTTCTTTCTCTTGCTAATCAACTGTCCGATTTTCACTAGTACGTTTGATTACATCCATCGTAACCAACTGGCAACCTGGTCAGGACCACACTCGATATTAGTGTTAATTAACATCTCACTCTATCAATATTACCCAATACTATGCATGAACCGATATATCGATAAGATATTCTATTCGAATAATACTGTCATCTCCGACACGGCCATTCTGACGTTCACACGTCCTCGTGTGTTACAAACTAAAGACTAATAAGATAAACTAAACAGCAATATGCATAGCTCAACTTAAAAGACAAATGAAACCAAACCTATTACTTTAAATAAAAATCCAGTTAATTTCAATTTTCTCAAGTAGGTCATTCAACGTCTCTTTCAACGCCGTCTCTACAACTTTCCAACTCAATGGGAATCCCCTCCGCCGGCATACGTCTCAACGACTCACAACGGTCTCCATCGAGAACCTCTGTTACTAAGAACGCACCTTTAAAATTGGGATATAATTTAGTTTGGTGTCTTTCCTCATTCTTGAGCAGTGCATAATCGCCAACCTTAAATCTTACAATTTTTGACTTATATCTGTCGAATCGGTCTTTCTCAAAAGAAGCGTTCTGTTATACTGTCTCTTATTCTTTAGGTCTATCAACATATATCTCTCGTTTTCTGAAATTTAAAAATACCCTCTAACTTTGTCTGATGCCTCTTACAATTATTAACCAGTACAAAATCACACATTTTAAACCTGACTACTTTAGCATTATTTATCCACTTTTTTTTTTTTTTACTTAGCTTTTATGCAAATCTGTCTTTAATTCACCACAGTCAAATGTAATTGGAAAGATTTAACCTCGGAACAGCATACTTATCTTCGGTGTAATGGTCAAAGAATATATGTAGTGATAATAAATAATTGCAGTTCATATCATTCGCGACAATTTTGTCGCCTGCACTGCAATACCAGCTGATCTTGCAAAAGCTTACATTGCGAGAGCAAGCCTTTGCAAGAACCTTCAAAGCTTGAGACACAGCTGGTAAATTGCACCCATCTTCGCTTGGGCCTATAAAAAGAGCCACATGGGTCAAATCGTTCTTTTTCCGGCATCACGAGATCATCAAGTCAAAATTTGGTTGTGCTGAAAATTTAAAAGTATAAACCTATATAATTAAACCAAATAAAAAAAAATTTTTTTGACAAAATAAAACCCACGGACCCAAAGATTAAGAAAGTGCAAGCAATCGCGTTTGCTTTTTGCATTGAATTGAATTGAATTTGCAGCGCGCAGCTGCCGGTCTCAAAATATATGTTAGATATATATACATTTATATATATATATATATATATCAGGTATGTGAAAAAGACTGTTCAGAGAAAAAAAAAGAATTCAAGTAATTAAGAAAGATTTTCCATTTTCAGTGGACTTTTGTCCATTTTTCTCTTATTAGATACCCTAACTTCACGCCAGCAAGGGTCACCTTGAAGAACGGAGGTTAGGGTACGAAATGCCGGCAGAGCAGCATAACGCCTAAGCGACGGGGGAGAGGAAGGGCAGCATCAAAAGAAAAAAACCGAAGAAAAAAAAACCAACAAAATAAAAGAAACTTTAGTGCGTGAAAAAAACAACCATATGAGTTTCTGAAAACGTGAAAAAATGTAACTAATGAAATAGAAATTTTACAATAGAGTAGTATTTGCATATAGAAAAAAAAACTGCGAAATATAAAGAAAAGAACTTAAAATTAAAAATAAAAAAAAGAATTTGTGCAAGACATTTAAATTGCCGACGGCAAGTGAGAAGTTATTTTTTTGTCGAGAGAAAAGTTAAAGAAAACAGAAAAATTAGTGGTTTAACAGCTCAATCATAAAATCTATAATTACTATATATATAATTAACCCACAAAAACGAAACCAATAAATAAATAAATATATATCAATAAATAGATATATATGAATAAATACATAAAAATGAATAAATAAGAAACATAAAGCAAAGTACAGCACATCAAAAGAAAAAAATGTATCCACACACAGTTAATACCCTATAAAGAAAACTTGAAGAGAGAAAAAAAAAATTCAAAAAAATAACTAACAAAAATAACGCCAGAAAAAAAAAGTTAAAGATTGTGTTGTTCCTCCCCTCCCGCCAATATACCCCATTTCTACACTTAACAGCTGACACCACCACGCAGGCCTTTCGTCGCGGGAGTAAAAGCAAACTGTAAGTGATTAACCCCAATGTGCCCTTGTCCCCAAAAATTTGAAAAAAAAAATAAAAAAAATAAAAATTTTTTTTTAATACAACAATGAATAAAAATTTGGGTTTCTTGCGTTTTTCTATTTTTTTATATTATTATATTATTTCTGTGAATTGATTTGTTTTTTTTTTGATGCAGCAAATATAAACATAAATGTAAAGAAAAAAAAATTTTAATTACACTGAAAAAAATAAATAAATAAATTTAAATGAGATTCAATAAATAAATAAATAATAAGTAGTACTATAATAAATAAAATTAATAATGCTAGAACAAAAAAATTAATAACAATAAAAGATAAAAATAAAAACAAACAAAACAATATAGAAAAATTTTTTTTGTAAATCAAAAATTAAAATAAATCAATAAGTATTAGACAAAGAGAAAGGGAGAAAAGAGAAATAATGATTTAGATAAATAAAAACAGCAGAAAAATAGTAAACGTATAATTCTAAGTGAAGTAAAAATTATTATTTGAATGAAAAAATAACAGTAGCAATGATAAAGTTTATATATAAGTCTTGAATATTAGTTGTAAGAACTTTGTTTTTTTTTTTTTTTTTTTTTTTGAGTCTGCGAACTCAACAATAAATTTGAAAAAAAAAAAGAAATTCAACAAGTTACATCAGTTATTGAAAGGAATCATGCAATTTTAAAAGTCCAGTAAATTTGGTTATATAATGGGGTAGGAAGTCGTCCGATTTTTCTCGTTGGGGGTTTTTACCAATTTTAAATAAAAAACCATGGCAGGGTTGGGTGGAGAAGCGGGTGCCAATCGTCACCTAAGGCCTCGCCTCTTCATATTTTTTTTGTCTGGTATATGTACAAACTCTGTGTTCGTCTTCCCCCCCTTCCCCTTCACTGCGGTCATGTGGACCATCTTTAGGGATCTTAACAATTAAAATTTGTGTTCGGAGATTTGAGAGGTAACAAAGAACCCCCTACACTCCCGAATGAGCTAAGGGACCAGGAGATCCCGCCCGTTATCTATAAATCTATGGCTAGCTCTATGCATTATATGAATGTTGGCGCCCGACCAGGGACAGGGAATGCATAGAGCCATATAGCACTCGTCGGCCTTCACACCGCCAACTCACTACATCGGTTCATCTGCCACACATATTTCAGTCTCACAATTTCACTCTACACAATTCAGATGTTGGTTCTCCACTAGTGCCCGTACATGTTAAGCCATATTTGTAAGCAAAAAGTTGATCCCACTTCTGATGTCGGATATTTCTGCAGATTAGATGATTTTGTGGAGTGCATCGTGTTCCTGCACTGTTGTCCTTCTTCCTCTTGCTAATCAACTGTCTGATTTTCACTAGTACGTTCGATTACATCCATCGTAACCAACTGGCAACCTGGTCAGGACCACACTCGATATTAGTGTTAATTAACATCTCACTCTATCAATATTACCCAATACTATGCATGAACCGATATATCGATAAGATATTCTATTCGAATAATACTGTCATCTCCGACAAATACATATGTAAAGGAGAACTACCACTATTAGAAATTTCTGAGCTGAAATTGAAATTTTAATGATTATCAACCAAAATAGGATATAAAATCGTCGATATCCTAAGATATATTTCACATATTGGAGCTTCCCATTTCAAACTGAATGCCAAAATTCAGCCTAGCTCAACTAAGCTCAACCGCAGACTGAGTCCTTAACAGTTCTATTATAGTATATATATTCCAGCATTTACAATGTTGCGTAAAGGGCAAAGGCTTAGCACTATTAACTACATAGTAGTAAATTAAGTTCTATTAATATTTATTAATTTTCTAAATTGTTGTTATTCATTCCAAAGAGCTGTATAATTTAGGTTTATCAACTATTTATATTGCACTTATAGAGCAACTGTGTAGTATAATTGCGCCAGATCTTTTGCAATTAGAGTACCAAGCTTATTAAAACTTGCCTAGCTCTAATGACCATCATCCCTGTGTAGTTACGATCAAATTTTAATATAACCGAGAGGAATGTTGCTTTAGTAGTTGTTCAGCTGATCGTAAAATCTGGTCGCATCACCAGTCACAGCAAACAACAAGCAGTTGTGCCCGATCATGCCGACCGACCTCTGCCAGTAATCGAAGATCGAGTATACGATATTCAAAGCCGATGGGGTTACAGAGTAAAGTATAGCTATAGCTGGCAGCTCATTGTTGTCCTTACAAATGTAAAATAATACTGGAATTAGGCAATAGACGAAACAAGTTTTTAAACTATAAATAAACTTATTTTATACTATAAATATGAAGTTAAAGATTACGAGGTCAAAAAGACATTAGAGCGTATAACGTAAAACGCACAACAATGTATTGAATGTATAAGTCGCAATAGATTTCATTTCTTAAATTTTTATTTCAATATAAAAATAACGAATTACACTAAATTTAAAGCCGTTGTTAAAGCATTTTCCTTAAATTTGTGCTGCCTATTTTATTTTTACAAGTCCTTAAAAAGTGGTGAAGAAAATGATTGGACCTTTATGATTATTCCTAGATTTTTTTTGAAATAATATAAGACCTAAAACTGTTACAGCTCTGTTAACAAGCAACGCCTGTGCAAAGTCTGGCAGCGCCAAACATTTACAGCCGTTAAGGCTGTTACG